AGGAAGGATATATCTAATATTGTTTCATTTGCTGAGACGAATTGAAGATGGGGAAACAGAAAAGAACAAAAAAAAGAAAAAGAAAGTGAAAAATCAGAAACCAGTGATTAGGTTAAGTTTGAATTACTTCACACTGCATACACACATGCTGTAGTTAAAAGCTTCAAGTAAAGGGGTGCTAACCCCTGATTGTTAAAGCTCAAAATGTGGTGCTTTCAGTCCTTCAAGACTTGTTGCAATAAATAAGCACTTCTGTGAGTGCTTCTCTAATTTAACAATAAACTTCTTGCACTTGTTTAAAGAATAACAAACGGGTTTACTGTGAGTTAAAGCCAGTTTAAACATATATGTAGTTATGTGTGTCTGATTGGTCCAGACGCTACAATATTGAGATATACATTGATATTACAATTTAAAATTTGTAATTTTTTTTAAATGTTATTCCTGTGATGACAAAGCTACATTTTCAGCAGCTATTCCTCCAGTACTCAGTGTCACATGAGTCTTCAGAAATTATTCTAATATGCTGATTTGGTGCTGAAGAGACATTTCATATTATTGTCAGTGTTGAAAACAGTCTGGTGCTGCTTAATATTTTTGTGGAAAACATGAAACATTTTTGTGGAAAACATGATACAATTACTTGATGAATATAAAGGTCAAAATGACCGCATCTTTTAAAATATAAATCTTTTGTAACATTATAAAAGTCTTTATTGTCACTTTTGATAAATATAATTTTTGTCATTTTCTCAAATTAGCATGTTTTTTTCCAAATAACATGCCTCCATTAGAGCATGTAACATTGAAAGAAAGATTCTTTTCTACTCTCTCTGTAAATCCAAATTTTTGGTCATTGTTCATGTTTTATGTTGGGTTCAGGTGTTGGAACAAGGAATTACTACAGAAAAATGGGTTATGAACTGGAGGGGCCGTATATGTTGAAGAACCTTTACTGAAGCAGAGAGGAATCCAAACCAAGATGTATCATATTCCCTGGAGAAAATCATCTGACATGCAGGACACCAACTTTAAGGGGATCTTTACACCCCACCTATAATTGGACTGGGCATGAGGATTACAGAGAAGCGTGTGTGAGTGGTCATCACAAAGCAAACTGCACTATTCTGTTACATGTCAGCCAAAGAGAGTATTCTGTACTTCTCTTATGAAGACCATGATGCAAAGTATCAGTGCTTTTTAGAAAGGTACACCATTCTCCTTTGGTCTTAGCTTCCATTTTACAGAAGTCTCTCTCCAGTATACTTGCCAGTGCATTTACTTCTCTGGGAAAACACTCTTTTTTTTTTATCACATTATTTTTGGCTTCTACTGACAACATTAGACATAATGGTGGAAAAAAACTGCAGAGGCTCTCAGTTATCCTGCGCACATTTTTCATGTGGATTTGGGAGGGGAAAATAATTTATTCTTGCTGCTTGGCACATTTGATTAATTCACCATTTTTCCTGCTCTGTTCATTTTAAAGATGGATTAATTGCATTTTCATGTTTTCTTGGCTTTGCATGAAAAGTGTTCATCTGGTTATTTTTTTTATTGATAATAAAAGATATTTATCCAGGATTTCAGTTATCATCACATGATTGCACATTGTCATCATGTTGGCAAGAAGGCAAGTGATTTGGATGGAGTTGAAGAGACATAATACAGACATCACTGAACATTCAAAGGAATTAATGGGTAAGAAATCATCCGCGGCGGTCTCCTGTCCAGCTCAGATACGAAAAACCATTGCTCCTATTTTTGACAGAATTAAAAGTTCACTGGAACTACTCAGCTGCGTTTCAGTGTCTGTCACCACACCACCAATTTCTGAGAAATGTCGTCCGGCGTGGCGAGAGCTGTCCTCCGCAGGAGACCTCATATCTCTGCTGATGGGTTTTTACTGCTTCATTTGACATCGCAATACCAGATTATATCGCTATCTCTGTCTGTGAGTCAAGCTGTCAGGCGAATGATGACCGACCACCCTTTAAAGCTAAGCTCAGTCAGATCACACTTGTAAGAGGTTTGTCATCAGAGAAATGGTTTCCAATAAATGGCAAGATGTTGTTTTGCCACCACCCCACAATAAAGTGATGATTCAACAATTGTTGAGCTTGTAATTTCCCGGCACAGACCCTTTGTTATGACCTTAATGGCTTGATAATCTCAGTTAAAACGATGAACAGTGTGCACTGTGTCATTGTGTCATCCTACACACCAATCAGCAGCTTTCACTAAATCTCAGGAAGTTTTAACTAGACAATCCCATAATTGATTTTGCTAATTACACAGGCTCATAATGGTCATTATTCCTAATTTAAGTAAAGTAAAGTCTTACCAAAGCAGAATTAATACTGATGTAGCCAAGATGATGACCTCAGAGAATGAACGAGTGCTGTTTAGATAATGTGCATATTTCGCCACCGAGGTCAAGATGAGCCATTTCATTTGCAAACCAGCGAAGCGTGTGGAAAAGGGCAAAGTGTCTCTAGAGATGGAAATGTCACAGATGAGATCCACTTAGAAGAATTCACAGACGCTTTATGTTATTGCCGGTGAGGCTGTAAGGTTTCGAAACCCTTTAACACTCTTGAAAGTCATTAATATTCAACTTTGGCATTATTATTGGCCTTCAACTCAACACTGCAGTTAACTGCTCTTTGTCTTGATCATAGAGATCTGTTCAAAAAAATAAGCTGATTTACTCTTACAGAAGGTTTTTCATTTTCTAGACCCGAGAACTATTGAACACAAATACTTCAAATCCAGCCAAATATCATTTATATCCATCACAAAGAGGGATTTTAATTTCCTTTGGAAGATGGAGGACTTTCCCCAACCAGAAAACCATTTGAAGCATCCTGTAAAGAAAAAACCATCTACAAGACTGGCCGCTAAAGCTGCAGAAATCATGACAGTGCTGTTGGCGGAAAACAGGCGATCTTGAATGATTGATACATGTGCCATTTTTCACAGATACACATTAGGGGAAACTAAATTATTTCACCTCCAATCTAGATGTTGAACATGCGCCACCAGCTGTGAAACTTCAAATGTTTCAGTCATTTTGACTTTCTATCATTTGAATCGCTTCAAGGTGGCGACCTTGTGGTGTGACCGTCCTGAATGCTCAGTTTCTTATGTCTTGCTGCTTCTGACAACACAACTATAACTGATTATGATTGGCTATCCTTATAAGCATGAAGGCTGCGTTACAAATGATACAGATAAAGGAAGTTTTGACAGGGAAAATATGTTTTTCCACACAATAATGAATTGTTTCCCTTGTTTAATATTGTTCTGTAGTTGACTTCTCAATAAAGACATAAAATTACATGTAAATCATTGAAAACACCACAAAACAGAGCAAAAACTGAGTTATACTATTAGAGCTGCATGATATTGAAGAATGCAATATGATAATGCTTTAAGTGTGTAAAATCTATTAAAATAACATTTAAAAACTAAAATGATATAACCAACATACATGTTTCAAGATCTGGGGGGGAAAAAATCACTAGCTTCTGAAAGTATATATATATATATATATATATAGTGTGCAGCCCTATAAACTACTAGTACAATTCATAAAGTATATGGTAACAGACACAGCACTCAAAAACAAATAAAAAATCTATTTACTTTTTAAACTTGATTTCCAACTAGATGAACAGTATCACTGTTTGATAACTTTTTTGGCTTCATCTTCAAGTTTTTCAGTGTATAAAGGAGACTGGTTGTTAGTATGCAGCTCTTGAGATCAGTGCACCTCTATGGCATGCCGAACCCTTTTCTCCAGGTGGTCTGCTGTGGGCCGGGTATCAGGATCAGAATCTAGCATGTCCATCAGCAGCTCGCACATAGCAGGGTTTGGAGGCGGCGGCAGTGGCGGAGCACGTCTTGCCCTCATAGGGATGATTAACTGCAGGTCGGGATTCTGACAGAGTGCCTCACCTAACGGGATGAGCCAGCGGCCTCGCATTACATACGCGCCTAGAACAGCACAGAATAAACAGGAAACGGATGTTATGCTTAATCAATTTTCAAGCATTATATGAAACAGGTCCTTCATTCTTTTCTGTCTAAGGAGTTTCCTTTGATCTCCCAAATGGTGCATTTGAATTTGCACTATTCATTATAGTTCAACAACACTAAAAAGCAGCAATAAAAACAATCCAATGAATTTCTTCAAAGCACACGCCTAGCACAAACTCATTATTATTCACAGAACTATAAGGCAAACCCACCACAGAGAGGTTAATGGGTGGAAGGATGTTAATTGCCCTTATATAAATAAGCTGCAACATTTGACCTCTTTGTACGCCTGCTAGCAGTGCAGAAAGTCGCTGGGTTCGAGTAATTACTGAGGACTGCCCAAATAGCTTATGCACTCCATCCAAAACCTGCGTCCTCAGACCACTTTAGTTTATCTCAGCTATTACGCATTAAGATAATGGGCTACTATGTCAAGCGCTCAACAACAAAGCTTTCACAGCAATCTAAAGTGGTCTGCATGAGGCAACCAGTCAGAGGAGTAACCGAAATAGCCACCTGCCTGCCAATGCTAGTGAAGAGAGGCTCTGAAAATTGTGAGAATTTCTATTCCTCTTCCTAATTTTATTCCTATTTCTGTGAAGTAGCTGTGACAATCACAAGATGGTGGGTTTTATATCAATCCTCATACCCATCATAAGATCTCATTTACTGCATATACAAGTTCCCATTTCATTTTAATCATAACAATACATGCATCATGGACCTAGATTGATTAAATAACAAAGATGAAAATATTAAAAACATTAAATGGGTAGAGCTAAATGAGCCAAAGTATTCCCCCCCCCTCAACTAACACAGTTGCTCTTGATTGGTGCCATCCTCTAGGAAAGTGATTCTCTCCAGCACGGCCCAGAAAAGCACACCCAGAGAGAAGATGTCAGCCTGGGCTGTATAACTACGACCTGCCCAAACTTCTGGAGCCATATAGAAGTCTGAGCCGCAGGTAGAGGAAAGAGCCAGTCTACTTTGGACACCATCTGTAGGATTGTCCACCATCTTACTGAGGCCAAAGTCTGCTACCTGTAAGACATGAGGTGGAAGTTAACAGTGTTTATAACTAGAACCATCTTTCACATCTGGGGTGTAAAACATAATTATCACAATTGTTTAATTTATGCATTTATATTAATTTAATAACCATTAAAATGATTTAGAATAATTTAATTTAGAAGAATATTTGTTTAGTAACATTTAAATTATAGAACATTTAGAAATAAGATATGTAAAATAATTGTCTACAAAACCATTTATATCCATTCAAATCCTTTCTTAATCTCTGCATAGGACAGTTTCACTGATTGAGGGACTCAGTGCCTCGGGCCATTTACGTTTTCTTCAAAAAATGTTAAAATCTAGTCTAAATAGAAAATTTTTGAAAATACAAAATCACTTTTAACAACTATAGATAACTCTAATTCTAGATAAGCCCAGCAATCACACAACTTATCTACTTTCCACTTTGTGCGATGCCTAATATTTGATTGGTAGACATTTACAGCACAATGGATCTGTCGCTTCAAAGCACACTACATTGATTGTCTACATTTAATGAAACATAAAAAAACAAATTATTTGAAACTTTAGAAGAATGGATTTTAAGACAATCCACTTCAAACTTTATCTGTAAGGTGATTGTTTTGCTAGTCTCTGTATTGATTAATAGAATAGGCTCAAAAGGTTCAGGCACATTGTGTGATTATACAAAAAAGTTATTTTTGGGGGGGGGGGTCAATAGGGTCAATAGTTTACTTCAAAATCGCGTTGGGGCAAGTTGTCAAGTATGTTTTAAATGTTGTACATTTATACAATTTGTTAGTCAAAACAATTACTTGACATTTCTTTTTACAATGTTGCTTTTTAGATTTACCCGAAAAGCCTGTAATATGCAGGTTCCATTGTGACAACTTACCCCATACTGGGTATATTGTGACAAAAGGTAGAAGCTTTGAAGCTGTTTTTAACAACTAGCCCTGGTTACCCCTATGTACTTGATGTGTTAGCATCAACAATTATCCAACTTTAAAAGTGGGATTAAACTGTTATTTTGTAGCAATTTTAGGTTAAAAGCACTAAAATCCCCCATAAGAATCTAAGTCTATTCCAACTTTTAAAATGTGATAAAACCATTGACACAAGGTGGCCCTTTAATGCCTGCCTAAAGATACCTAAATGTCAGACACAGATAAGGAAACCTCCATGATAACCCAAGAACATCCCCTGACTGTCTGACCAGGCTGTCACTCCCACATTCTCACATTACATAAAATACTCAACCAATTATTTTCTTATTTTACTTCTCTGCTAACTATAGCAGCTGCAGCACCTATGTCTTACCAAAGAATTTCTCATTCAGTCAGTGTCCTGAGAAAAATGCCAGCTCAGTTTTTGTGTGCGAAGTTTCCTAGTCCTTTCAGAACTAGTTCATTTTGTCTTAAGTTGTTCAAATAAATGGATAATATGTGGAAAAAGTTTTTTCCCCCATAGCTTTGATTGAAACACCCTCCAACATTGGATCTCTCTCATCCACAGGCTTTGTATTTCTCTTCTCTTTTTTTTAATATTGAGTAATGTCTTAGGGTTATTCAGCTGAAATCAATTAAGTGTCTCGTATTAATAGTCATTGGAAATTATTGCCAAGGGCTTCCCATAAAACATAGTGGTGTCTCACACAGGGATGTGGACATGCCTCAGTACTCTTCATCGCCTCATATAACAATAAAACTTTGCCCTAGAATGATGAAGGAGATGAAACAACACTGACCAGAGAGGCCCCCAATCATTCTGCATCACGGAGGTGAATAAGCCCACTCGTATAATTGCATATCTTGTGTAGAACTGACTTCAATTTTACTCCGAGGTGGTATCTCACCGCAATGCATTCAGCTGCTGGTTCTGTGATTCAGCCACTGCTGTAATATGATGTGGCACAGAATCTGATGAGTTCCTTTGTAGCGGCATGGCGCATTTCTGTTTGTCTGTGTATAATATCTAATTCCAGACTTACTGCATGGGACAGGGACTCAGGTGATGGGTTATTTTGGTTGTTTATGATTTAGGAGTTATCAAAGACTGAATATTGGACGCATCACATTAATAATTGACATGCTTATTGGTTCATTTCCTCAGTGGCACAAATGCATGACACATGCTTTTTTAATCACTATGTGCATTTAGAGATTAATTACGAATCAGGATTTGTGTTTATTTTTGCATCTAATCCATGTTATTTAACAGCCTCTGAAATGACATGATTAGGGAGATTAAAGCAAGCTATTGTAAATTAATGGGTGCTCTTATTCGGACCTATATTAGCTACTGGTCGTACCCAAATGAGTTTATTTTTCAACAGGCTTTTCCTAATTCTGAACCACTTACAATTATATATGCCCATTCAAAGTAATTATGAGCTAGAACACAATGTTACAGTATTTCAATTTTCCTCTGCTTTTGCGGAGTTTTTTTTTTTTTTTTTTTGATTGTTTGCATACTTATATATACACTCATTGTATAAGACTCCAGCATCCCTGCTATTAAGATCAGGTCCAAGCTTGTTTATGCTAGTTTGGTGCTGTTCTACCTCGAACTTGAAATTAGCAAACCGATTTGAATTCCAATTCGAATTTGAATGTAAGAAAGTACAATAGAAATAGAAGACTGAAATTTTAAATGTCACCTACTGAAATTGGTAATATATATTTCATCATATTTAATAAATGAAATACATTTCATAATTAACTTTTTTCTTTCATTCATACTTGCATTTCAATTCAGCTTCATGTGGGGTGTTGCAATTCTATTCAATTCCAATACAAATTGCAACTCATACTGAGAAGGAACCAATTGAGTGTGTTTTAAGGCTGAAATATGATCTCAGTTTGACCTAAAAACAAGTGCATTTCATTTAAATGCTGCATTCAATTCAATTCAAGTTTATTTGTATAGCGCTTTTTACAATACAAATTGTTGCAAAGCAACTTTACAGAAAATTAAGTTTCTACAATATTTAGTAGTAGCTTATTAGTGGTGACTGTCAGTTAATGTACATATGGCAGAAATGTACGGAAAAATCAATTAAAGACATAATCAAACAGACGATGAACACTATTAACAGCAATTATTATATGATGCAATCAAACTTATAGCAAAATTTGGTAGTTCTGTATGTTGTTTCAGGGTTGGCATCATCTGAGGGGTTTGCATCATCTGTTCTCAGGTGTTCTGGATCCAGACTGAAGCTTGTGTAAATCCTAGTTACATCCCGTGGCAAAAACAGAGAAACGAATAGAGACATAATTAGCATAGCTGCTGTTCCAACAAAGTAAAATTAATTAGTTTAACCCAAGCTAAAGAATAATATTGCGCATTTGATCAGATATAACTGTAGTCCAAGATTATGAGATGCATTACATTTACATTTTACATTTAATCATTTAGCAGACGCTTTTATCCAAAGCGACTTACAAATGAGAACAATAGAAGCAATCAGACCAACGAGAGAACAAGAGTATACAAGTGCCATGACAAGTCTCAGTTAGTCTAGCACAGTACACGTAGCTAGGTTATTATTTTTTATTTTTTTATTAAATAATAGAATGGAACAGAACAGAATAGAATAGGTAAGTGCTAGTATTAGTTGGTCAGGTGCTGGCGAAAAAGATGTCTTTAGATGTTTTTTGAAAATGGCTAAAGACTCAGCTGTTCGAATTGATTTCAGGAGGTCATTCCACCAGCTTGGCACAGTCCAGGAAAAGGTCCGTGGGAGTGATTTTGTGCCTCTTTGTGATGGCACCACAAGGCGCCATTCACTTGCAGAACGCAAGCTTCTGGAGGGTGCATAAGTTTGAACTAGCGAATTTAGGTATATTGGTGCAGTGCCAGTGGTTGTCTGGTAGCCCGTGTAACCTGATGAGGAGAGGAGTAACGTGAGCTTTTTTTGGCTCATTGAAGACCACTTTCGCTGCTGCATTCTGGATTAGTTGCAGAGGCTTGATAGTGCATGCGGGAAGGCCCGCCAAGAGAGCATTACAATAGTCCAGTCTGGAGAGAACAAGAGCTTGGACAAGTTGTGTGGCTTACTCTGACAGGAAGGGTCTAATCTTCCTAATGTTGTATAATGCAAATCTGCAGGACCGGGCCGTTGTAGCAATGTGGAGCCTAGACCACTGACCTGTGAAGCTTTTGGCCAGGCATTATTTGAATGCCTGGCCAAAGAGAGGAGTCTTTAATCTAGATTTAAACAGAGAGAGTGTGTCTGTACCCCGAATGTTATCAGGAAGGCTATTCCAGAGTTTGGGAGCCAAATGCGAAAAAGCTCTCTACCTCCTTTAGTGGACTTTGCTATAGGTACTACCAAAAGTCCATAGTTTTGTGACCTTAGGGAGCGTGATGGATTGTAGTGTGGTAGAAGACTAGTTAGGTTCGCAGGAGCTAAACCATTAAGGGCCTTGTAGGCAAGTAATAATATTTTGTAACTGATACGGAACTTAATAGGTAGCCAGTGCAGAGACTGTAAAATTGGGGTAATATGATCATATATTCTTGACCTGGTAAGCACTCTAGCCGCTGCATTTTGGACTACCTGTAGCTTTTTCATTGAAGATGCAGGGCAACCACCTAGCAGTGCATTACAATAGTCCAGTCTAGAGGTCATGAATGCATGAACTAGCTTTTCTGCATCAGAAACAGGTAACA